CAAAGCAACTCAAGACGGGAATTTTAATTAACAAACCCAATTCTTTTCTGGAGTAACTCGTTAAAGTATCTATTCCATTATGAAGCAGAAGGCAGGCTTGTCGCTGTCCCTCTCTTACGCACGGTCTAAGATAAGCCGTATTTAATTGAAAGACAGTTTCTTTTGTCAAGTTGCCTTTACGTCCGGTAGAGGCAGCAATGACGCCAGTTGCGAGATTCTTTATAGGTCACAAGTTCCTTTGCCCTCTCCCCGCACCCCGCTCCCATGAATTCCACTCGAAAATTCGAAAGAAAAAAATATGCTGCAAGCAGCAGGAGCGACTATTCAATTCTTTGAATCCTTCTTCCTTCTATTTTCATTCTTTCAGTCCGGCGTTTGGTTTCTGATAATGAGGTGTCCTGGTTTTTATTTTATTTCTTTTTTCTTCAATTGTTCTAGATTTTTCCGTCACTCTGGAGAAGCCAAAATAATGGTGTATACAGATTACAAACTGTTTCAGCAAAGTACGTCGCGTACTCCAGAGTTTCAAAAAGCTTTTGGAAATATCTTCTTCGTAACAACCACAGACGCAAGAAAATTAATACCGGGGGGGTTTAAAAATTGAGAACACCACATCTACAGGCTTGACTTTCAGCGTAAGGAAAGATACAGAGACTGGAAATTACATTACTAATTCATGGTGCAGAATTTTTTTTCTGAGAAGCTAATAGTTGCTCAGCTAATGACGAAATTCCCTGCCCTTTACTGAGCTCGAAGGTTTCCGTATTTCCGCCAGCACACAAGATTCGTATGATCACATTCTGCTCGTGAGTACACTGAATTCACATCTGCATAGGCTTTGCGTAACTAACCTGAGTGACCCTGACTCTCGAATCATGGAAGAGGATGAAGGAGTATATCAAACGATGTAGACCTGCTTATGATTTGTTTTGTACCGCAGTACGAAATTGTTGATGGACTGCGTTTTCATAAGACTCTGAATTATCGCTCAGAAATAGACCTACCCTTTCCACGTGTATTCAGATCGCCGTGATCGATCGGCAACTTCTCTGACACGTCTGCTATGCAAGTAGTCTAAACAATATGTTTCAGGCGTTACGTCAGCATTATGCAATCAGGGATTCAGAAGATGGTTGTATTTTGAGTTGTAGCGATGTAGACGTTTACTAACGTTTCAGAGGTCTTTGCTGCCTCCATCTTCTCATCGAACTGACGATAACGTTCAGTGCTGGTTGTTTTACTGAGACAATCGCTAGTATTTTAGTACTACGTGAGATGAAATTTATAAAACTGCACAAAATGTCTAATTTGTGGCATTAATCCTTGGCCTGTGGACTGGAGATTGTTAAAGTACAATTTATATAAAAATAATCTGTGGGACAGTAAAAAATTCTTATCGGAAATTCTATTAATCAACACCTACTCGTTCTAGGAATGGGATATTGGGTGTAGAAATGCAGGAGAAAAAGTTGCTGTAACTGCTCTAAAACTGGCCCTTATACTGTGTGGGTGACAGAAACTGTGGTCTCACCTCAGTATATCATCGCCAAGATTCGAGGGGAAGGGGAAAATAATTCACCGCTGCTACCTTCCTGCTGGTCTTCTTAGCCAAGCAACAACTAATTCCACCAAGTGGTGCAATATTTAACCATTAATTTCCCACAAGGTGTGACTGATAAAATATCTAACTATACTGTACCAGCTACCAAAAGGGTTTAGCATTCATCAGAACAACGAATGCAAACATACACTATTACACGTTCCCAAACACCAAGCAAGAGATTCCTGAAAGAATTACTTACCATGGCAGGACACAAAATACAAACATATGGAGAGGTTCTGAAACGTCTACAGTCTGCGTATCTCTCTGCAGAATAGCACGTAAAATCTATTTCTATTTATAATGGAAAATAAACTACTGTACGTGCACCTCAACAGATATCAGTCAAATTAAGAACTGGGGAAAAGGCCACTTTTACTCAATTTCACGGGTTCAACATCTTGGCCAAACTCACAGAATAATTTTGTGACCACTGACCTACAAGATCACGCTACATCACAAAACAGAAAACTGCAATCGATAGAATGACATAACTAACTAACTAGATGGCTTACAGAACCCGAAGGTTCATCACCGAATTAACCAGAGCCCTCCACCGGACCCTGTCCTG